CATTCATTGTTTTTTAATCCTATTAAACTGATACAGTTCGTTTGTGTATTTTAAAATTTTTAAGATAAAGGTAGGTAACAACTATGACTTTTTATTTATTTTTTGATTTCAGATTAGTAATTATCATTTTTAGTAGTATAAATAAAGCTAAACTTAGGAATAAACTGGGTAAAACAACATTAAGAGCTGATTTCACCAACATTAATATTATAGACCAATAGGAAAATACCCTTAAAATATTGAATAAAATCCTGAAAATTCGACTGTATTATAAACAAGACCACTTCTTGATTTCAACATGATGCTTTTGTACAGAGAAAACAGGTCAATTTTCATGCAATTTGATTTGTGTTATAAATTTACATTTAACAGTCAGTTATCCCCAAAAGCCAATGGTAATGCGGCAAATAATAGGTCGATTTTCTAGCTGTTTAATTTGGCAGCAGATTTGGACGTTTGTTAATGCATGGCAATCTCGAATTTAAGTCAATATACTGTTATCATTACATACCTGTTGAATAGTCTGGATTTGTCTGTATTTTGCAAGAAAATACAATATAAAATACATTCCATCCAATAGCTCATCTTCCTTTACATCATAATAGTAATCATTTATTAATTTACGGGTTAATGAATTTCTTCAAAGCAATAAAAGCATTGTCCTCTCCATCCTAAAACACAGATAATATGTGTAAGACGTGTCAATCCCTACATCTCCGTGATGCATAATGGAATTACTATGGACATAGACAAAAAATTATAAAGAATGTCTCACAAATAATGTCTTTTAAGTCCAAAAATCATAAAAACTCATAATGTTTATTGTTTGAATGCCTTTTTCACTAGTGGGGTTATCTATCTGTCACTCACAGGGTTGCCAAGTCTAACGACGATCACATCCCGTAATGATGGGTGCGACATGAATCTTTTACATTTGCTGGTTTTGAATTTAAAGTAGGAATACAAACAGAGTAAGATAAAATTTCTATTGACTTATTTTAAACCTTGAACCTTACTAAAATTAACCTTTCCACACACTCCCCATACTGGTAAAAGCTAGGTAAGACATGATTGGAAGTATGCGCTGTAGATGTTATACTTAACTCAATTAGCAAGAAGTAATCTATTTTTATTTAGGGCTGCAACCTTATAATATTAAATCTAATTATTTATATCCCCTGAATAACAATACAGTATCGTCTGCAAAAGTAAAGTAATCACAGTTAAGATTGCAAAACGCAAACTTAAAGCACAGAGGGAATATAAAAGAGGCCCCAGGTCTGACCCGTGGTGTACGACAGACAGATTCGTCAGATACTGACTTTTGATTTCCCTATGTTGACATATTGCTTTCTGTCGATTAGGTATAATTTCAATAAATCGTATAATTCCTCTCTAAACCCCACGACTTTAAGCCTTTGCAATAAAAAATCAAAAGTTACAACACCAAATTTCTTGCTAAGGTCTATAAGCACCGCAATTACAACTGTTTTATTATCTAACGCTGCTGCTATTTTATTTACAAGATCCAATGTTGCGCTCAATGTATTGCTTCCTTCTATAATACAGTACTGAAATCTGACAATATCGATGATTTTTTTCAAAAACGCCAACATATTTTTTTTTTAGTTATAATTTATAAAACTTTTGAGGGTAGACTAATCACTGAAACTGGCCTATAATTGCTTGTTGAATCTTCATCAATAGACATAAAAACGGTAGTTATTTTACTTACTTCAAGGATTTCTGGAAAACTGTCACTAGAAGCACATTCTTAACCAACTTTACTAGAACAATCTTAATATGACTTTAGGTTTAGTAGATTTAGGGTGGATTTCACCAGGATTGTCAAATCAACAGTCCGTTACTCTCCACCCTCCACCGATACCCTACACCCTTTAGGGTAAATGGGATTTTGATTATATATATATATATAACAAGAAAATTTAACAATGTTTGGAGATATATTTACATAAATAGGTACTTTTGTTTCTGACTTATAATATCTAGACGATGAATAGGTGGATGCGGATACTTATACAAATATCGATGTTTCAGGACCCAGAAAGGCAGAATGAGTTGGTTTACATTTGGTGTGGATTTCTAGGTCATAAATTAGCAAAAATTGTTTTTGATGTAACAAAGATGATGAACTAGTTGGAATACGTTTTATATCCTTTTTTGAAAAATTACAAAAATAGGTACATTTCTACAGGTACGTAGAACACCCTGTAAGTGATATACAGAGAAAACTAGATTGCCATGCATGAACAGTCGTCAAAAACAGTGAAAACATCCTACTAAATATAATAGCTGGAAAATCGATTTATGAGTACTATTTCTCTCATTTTCATTGGCCCATTTAAATAACTGACCGTCTTTTGTGAAATGATAAAAATTTGAAATTCTATGAAAGTTATCCTAATTCTAAAGCACAATGACATAATATTACATCTATAATGTATCCTTATTTATAAGGCAACCGTTTTTTCACGACTTTAGTCAACATCTCAATAGAAATCACTGATATTCAGAGAGCTTTGACAGCTTCCGTCCCATTGCATTTCGATAAGGTCTTTTCCTATTGGTCCAACTGACCGTCAAATATTATATTTATTTTTATTTTATTTATTATTCATTTAATATATTATATGTTCTTTATATTGGCCCTTATTGGACTAATCTTATAATGACCAGGAGCCGATGACTTTCTGAAGTCACTGTGTATGTCGATAATCACTTTCCTGTTTGTTTTCTCATCAGAGCAGCTATTCTCTCAGTGAATTTCAGTAACCTTCAAACAAGCTCCAATACTTTCTAGGTAGATAAAGGTAGGTTACGCCACCCTGTATATGTGAAGAGGTATAATTTAGAGGTGGAATAGCAGCAAAACAAAATGCTGATTTATTTGAATTCTGGATGCTCACCTTGGAACTAAAAAATTCAAAATGACGCATCCAGTATGTTTACCGACCAAGCAAATTTTTGCCATTTGTTTTTTCACTTAAGTGATGAATGTCCGAAAAGAGCCGTTTGCCGTTTGCCTTTCGTCTATGTGACGACCTTCAATAGATCGTGTTCTAGTACAGTAGGTGAAACCTAATCATACTTCAACAAGATCCTATGCATAAAATGAATAACTAATGTCAACTTCCGTCTTACCACTTGTCCCGTTTGAACGGGAATAACGAGCGACGTATGTGCACTTCTCTATAAGACAAACATTCCTCCAGCTGTTTTACTTGCTATCCTTTGCCACATTATTCCTTGTTGAATGCACTTGAGTGTCCAGAGACTCGTGCTTTAATGGGCTATTAAAAGGCTGAAGCGACAATGCGCAGAATAGTTCAACACTCGCTTACTCGCCATTATTATAGCATGTATTACGGTTTCTGTGCATGCCAACGTTTGTGTTCTTGAGGTATGGTGTCAGTTGAATTTGCGACACGTTATTGTGGTAATAGAGAGGCAAAGCAACTTTATAAAGGGTGGTCCAGCCGTCGGTTTCTTTTTTAAATTGGTGTTGAAACTACACCCTTCAATAATATGTAACACTCGATACCTTATTCAAAATTCCTGCAGCGGCTGGCCTTGAAACACGTTTTCGATAGTCTGTGGGTCTATTTCATCAATAGCTCGACAGATATCTTCCTCAAGACATCAATTGTTTGAGGATCATTAGTGTAACAGCGGTCTCTAACAATACCCCGTAGGAAGTAATCCATGGGCGTCAAATCATAGCTGTGGGGTGGCCAATGAACCTCTCCAAAGCGGCTGGTGACGCGATGACCGAACTTAGTTTGTAAAAATCGATTGTTTCACAACTGGTGAACCAGAACCAGAGATTGTGCAAGTGCATGTCATCTAATAGTGGCTACAAAAAACTCCTCAGCATGTCTCCATAGCATTATTATTACATTTATCAATATGTCGCTTTATACTTCTTAACCTTCAAACGACACTGACATTTATTAGTCTCAATCTTTCGAATAAAAGCGTGTGTCACTCATTGATAAAGGGATGGATCAAGTTATGTTAGCCATTCTGTACATCACTGCGAGGCAACTCGATGTGATGTGTTCCAATAATAACTCCTCCGGGCACCCCCATCCACGACTAAATATACAATTCAATTTTTTATCGTTACGACTCCTATTGTCATCCTAAATTTCCTCAATCTGCTGTCATAAAATGTAAAAGTGAAAGGGAAAATGTTGGCGCGACGTTTAATGTTGTTATTCGCAGAAAGCGAATATGTATTATGTCATTCTCTCGTTTGCCTTATTTTATCTATACAGGCTGATCCAGTAAAGAATAAGAAAATAGTAGGTTCAATACAGATTACGACTTTTTAGATTCAGGATTTTGGATGATACAGGTATAAGTTTTTGGACAGACAGCAGTTCAGTTTTCTGGCTGGTTGGTATTGAAGCGGTGTGCAGCCGAGGTTGGTCCAGTTCTTTGGCGATTAAAAGTGAATGGTCAAACGCTTTAATATTGTCAGTTAGATCTAACAATGCTGTTCATTATCAAGGTGATGGTATGCCACATTTTCAAAACGTATTCATTTATTTATGTATACATTGCATTCTCCAATAATTTAGAAAGTATAGGTGAAATTGTAATAGCTGTCAGGTCAGGATATGAACTATGTGACTTCATTATGTTGAAAGAAGTCTATTGTGACCCTTGCAACATGTGGTCGGGCATTATCTTGTTGGAAAGTTGGATCTGCCAGGGTGTCAAGATAGGGTAAAAGATGGGGTTCTAGAACTTCGTGGATATAACGCTGCGCGTTCATGTTACCTCTGATGAAGATTAAAGGTGACCTGGAACCATAAGCTATAGCACCCCAAACCGTAACTCCAACACTGTGATGAACATGTCTTTCAACAAAAAACTGTGGATTCCTCCTTTCACCACGTCGACTTCTAACCCTGGCACGACCATCGTGCATGCCTAAAGAAAATCGAGACTCGTCACTAAGACAATACTGTTCCATTCCTGATCCCAGAGTGACCGTTGTCTGCACCACTCAAGGCGATTACGTCGGTGTTCTCGAGTTAAAGGGAGGACCCAGTGTGGCCGGTATGAAAACAAGGCAAAACTTCTCATTCGTCGGTAAACACTTCGCATGCCAATAGGTCTTCCGTGTTCTGCAAACCATTCATTTGCAATGGACCTGGTAGTGGAGAAACGGTCCCTTAAGGCCAATAATCTTAGGCGGCGATCTTCGCGGTCTGTTGTTCTACGGCGGCGTCCAGTGCCCCTTGCTCTTTGCGTACGGCCTTCTCGAAGCCATGCCTGACAACACCTAACCACAGTGTCTACACTTCTTTGCACTCTAACTGCACTTACCCGAAAAGAAAGTCCAGCTTCCCGAAGTCCCACTATACGGCCCCTATCAAACTCACTAAGTTGACGAAATCGTACAGGTCTCCGTACTCTAGGCATCGTAACCGATCGTAAAGGATGTCAAGAACCAAAATCCGCCAACGTTGATTCTTTACTGCGGCTGAAATATTCATTTTTAGAGCGTTAGTGAATTGAAAAAAAGCAGTATACAAACCGGAATATCCAACTGATAAGGCTGAAAATTTTTTCACTTGTTATTTACAGTAAGATAAATACGAGTACATTCACCAACTTTTATTAAAATAAAACCATTTAAACTGGGTGTTCGGATTTATATGTCACTTAGTATATATATATATGCATAATTTTTTGGACAGAAACAATAATAATTATTTCCATAGAAACCAATCTTTTCTGAACATGGATTAATGTTGTTGTTGAAAACAGAACGAAAATATTTGTTTATTTCTATAGGATTTTTGAGACGGGTGAGAGTCTTCCTATTTTTAGATTTAGCTTTATGAAAATTTATGATGTGCATTAAGGAATCTTAGATTAGCTTTCATCTCGGATAACTTTTTGGACCCGCAAATGTGGTAAGACCTTTGTCAAACTGTTTCGTTTTACATGCCACCTCTAGTCAATTTGGGCAACTGCCACAACCCTGGTGTAAGCGTTGACTCAAATAGTGTTCATCAAAACACGCTTTTATTTGCAGACAGAAAGAAATTGAATAAGAGTGCTACGGCATCTCATGGCGGAACAGAAACGAATAAAATAAAAGGAAAACGCGTAGTCGCAAGGAATTTCGTTGGTGGGGTTCATTACATTGACATTAATTGCGGTCGGATTAACGGATAGGGATAATACCTGTCGGACTCGCGTTTGCCGCAAATCTTTCTTTTATAGTACAGTAACCAGGAAAGACCGGGATTTAAAGTTTGTAAAAATACATTTCCTGCTTAATTCTGCTTGAGTGTTGGAGTGCACAATTTAATTTATTCGACAAGGAATGCACGCTGTAGCTTTTAGCCATGTTTGAGATATACTAAGTGACATATAAAATGCAACACTCAGAAATATTTATTGAATTTTAATGAAAGCTTGTAAGCATATTTGCTACCATGAAACTATACGTGGATAAAATGTTGAAGGCAGTTGAGAACCGGTGGTTTGATGCTGTTGGAAGAACAATAACAATGAGGACAGTTTATCGTCGAATAAGGTCTTTTGGACTGTTTTCATACCGTCCCCATCTTGTACTATCTCTGACCCCACATCATTGGCAACGACTGGTATACATAGGGAGAGACTTGAATGGAACATGGAATGGAACTCAGTCGTATTCTGCGATGGGTCCAGATTCTGTTTGGACACACGTGATGGCCGTGCAGGAGTAAGGAGGAGGCGTGATTAAAGATAAAACATACGTATACAATGTTCCATATTCATCGCACTTTGGGTGTTATGGTATGGAATGTCATTGCTTATGGCAGAAGGTCACGATTAGTGTTCATTCGAGGTAGCATGACTGCCCAGCGCTATATCCACGAAGTTTTACAACTACATCTGCTTCCGTTTTTGGAAACATTGCAAGATCCACTTTTTCAGCACGAGCCCATGTCGCATGTCTTAGTTTAGACTTTTTAGAAGCGTCCAGGGTAAATCTGCTTCGATGGCCTTCTCGATCTCCAGACCGTTCCCCCATCGAGCATGTATGGGATATGATGGGAAGAAGGTTGAAAAATTCACCGCATCCTCCACCAGCATTGCAGTCTCTACGAAACCAAATCCATATGGCCTGGAATACAATACACTAAGAAGACATGAATCACCGAATCCAATCAATGCCTCGACGACTTTAGGAATGACTAGCGAACAGAGGAGCGTCAAAACATTATTAACATTAAGGATGGATATGTCACCTATTTTGCGAAATTTCGAGTTAAAATTTTAATCACATTCTATTTATCAGTAAACCTAAAGCTTGTAAAAGTATGCTCAAAATTACATCACTTCTAGTTGGTGTTGCATTTTCTGTGTCATTTATTAGGAGGAAGTCGCCTAGTGGCGGACACCTAAGGTTTTCAGAAAATACAACAAACACTACTTCAGAAAATGTAGCTTTATTTATGAATCAGTTAAGACAACAAATTATAAAACCAAAATATATCAACAAAAATACAACTTTTGCATAAACGTAATTAGGAACGTCATTTAAGTTATGGTGGAAAAAGATCTAGGCTCGTAGTACCGAAGGGACTTAACTTCTAACTCCAAGCACCCGACATCATTAAATCGTCGTGCATCGATCGCATATGTAGGAATCTCCACATTCAGGAATGTCTGCACATGCTTCGTAAGCCCATCCTTGGCAGCTGGAGCATCGTCGTGGTCCTCTAAGCACATTACGCAAGCAGTTTTCAGATATTTCAGCTAATGGTTCCCTTTTCTTAGTTTTATCTCCACTTTTTTCTTTAGCTTTCACACCTTTGGTTTGTTTCCTCTTCTCTCCTATGGCTCTTTTGACTTTATTTATCGTTCCTTTAATTTTTTCCTTAGGATTTTTTCATTCTCTTTTTCTTCAATAGCAATTATGTAGGAGACGAGTTTCACTTTTTTCACATTTTCTCTTCCGAGCCACTGAACTTTTGAAGGCAGCATTTGGCAATGGCGATAATTTATTCATTATCTGGACAAAATTTGGATCAAAGCTTGTGAACGGCTTCTGACTACACACTAGTTATTGGTTCATTGGTAGATTCTCTAGGAGGGGTCTGTCGATTCTTTTAAGACTAAATTATTGGCCCCTTTTTTACCAGATTCGAGGACATCTCGGCCGCGCCTGACAAAGAAGACCTACAGATCTAGTATTTAGGTGCAAAATATCTGTAAACACCTCGGGCATATACCATGGTAGACGTTTCTCGAAAAATAATTCTGTCAGGTCGTATTTAAGATTTGTAACATACTTTCTCTTTTTCATTACTCGCACTCCAATGGTGGAGCACATGTGCTTTTTTTTAATCAATATATTGTGATCCATTTGATATCTTGTTTATTTGGCTCTCTCTGTGTGTACTGTTACATAAATTTCGTCATCTCTGTTAGATTCTCCTTTTGTGTGTTGGTCAAGCAAAGCAAGCTCCGACTAACATCTTGGGGAGTTGTGGCTTAATCCGTCCTAGGTCACTGGCGCTCTTAACCCGCCCCTACTCTCCGCTTTATTTAGCTAGAGCCTAAATTTGCACGTCACTAGACAACAGTTTTGCTTGGACCAACCGTTAGATAGTATTTATCATTGTGTTTTATTAAATAACTAGAAAAATGCGTGGCATTTTGTATAGATCCAAATTATTGTGCACATAATACAAGCAGATAAATGTACAGAGAGATGGAAGGGTAAGGATACTTAGGATGATGAATGTCTCCCTACCTAGCTGCATATAACTCAGACCTGCGATGATGCACCGCCTTTGAGGTGCAAATATACTAAGTGACATATAAATCCGAACACCCAGTTTAAATGGTTTTATTTTAATAAAATTTTGTATAAGTACTTAATGAAGCATAATAAGTAAATGATAAAAATTTCAAAATGATTGCACTGCTTTAAAGCGCTTTGACCTTTAATAATGTGTGGATGCACCCTGATGTGCTACGCATTCTCCAACGCGCCTAGGCATGCTTCTGATCAGGTGGTCAATGTCCTCCTGTGGTATCTCATTCCAGGCAACCACCAACTACTCTAGAAGTGCTTCTAGAGTCTGAGGAGGACGTTGCAAATTGAGCAATCTCCTACCCATCATATCCCAGTCGTGCTCAATTGGGGATAAGTCGGGAGATCTTGGTGGCCATGGTAACAATGTGACATCAAAATGTGATAATTTACAATGGTTTTGTGACTCTTGCAAGGTTAAAGTGGAAAAGTCGGTCTCCAATCAGATCTGTGGCAAATTGACTACATTTGAATCATCTGAGTTAGCTATCTGCAGGAAAGAAATCGAGTGTTTGCAAAGAGAAAAAGGTCTGATACAGAAACTAGTAAATGAATTGGAATATTCAAACACACTGTTAAAATCAAAATTATCCGATAATGATAATTTTCCTGCTGGTAGAAATACTGTACCCTGTGAAGGTGGACCACTTTTTGTGCCCAAGGATGTAAATACACCTAGCTACAGCGATATACTAAAAAAACGGCTAAACAATATTGATTCATCTGTATTACTGGTAAAATCAGCAAACAACAAGCAGAACACCGATTTAGTCAAATGCATTAGGGATGCAGTCAATCCAGTCGAACTAAACGTTCATATAAGTGGTACAAAAAAAACTAAAGATGGTGCAGCGGTATATTGCAACAGCTCGCAGGACTTGCAGAAGCTGAACGAAGCTCTTAGAAACAAGCTTGGAAATGGGTATCACATTGGGGAATCCAAGAAGTTTAATCCTCGTATTATAATTAGAAATGTTTCTTCTAATGATGATTTGGGCGATAATGATAGCATTGTTCAAAACATATTGTCTTTAAACAACTTGAACGATGAAGATTCTTCAACCTCGATGAAAGTGGTCACAAAGTTAAAGCTGAGGGATTCAAAAAATATGCACCTAGTTCTAGAAGTGTCTCCATCTATTAGAAAACTTCTACTAGCAAAAGGTTTCGTCTACGTAGGATGGAAGAGGTGCAGCGTAGTTGATCACCTCAATATTATGCAGTGCCGAAAATGCTGTTCATTTGGTCACCTTGAGAAGAACTGTGCATCTAATGTATCTACGTGTCTTAAGTGTTCTAGTGGCCATTCTTATAAAAATTGTGACAATGATTCTGTGAAATGTGCAAACTGTGTACAGTATAACCGTAAATATCGTACAAAAATAAATGTTGAGCATGCTGTATCGGATAAAACATGTATACTTTGAGAACCATGTTCTCAGTCTTAAAGCTAGAATAGATTATGGATAAGTTAGGATCAATGAAGCTTGGTCATCTGAACGTGCGATCTCTCATGTCCGACTTTGCTGCAATTATTGACCTGATCCAGACTGAGCGGTTCAGGTCAAGTGAAACATGGTCCTTTCACCACGTCGCCTTCTAACCCTGGCACGACCATCGTGCATGCCTAAACAAAATCGAGACTCGTCACTAAAGACAATACTGTTCCACTCCTGATCCCAGAGTGACCGTTGTCTGCACCACTCAAGGCGATTACGTCGGTGTTCTCGAGTTAAAGGGAGGACCCAGTGTGGCCGGTATAAAAACAAGCCAAAACTTCTCATTCGTCGGTAAACACTTCGCATGCCAATAGGTCTTCCGTGTTCTGCAAACAATTCATTTGCAATGGACCTGGTAGTGGAGAAACGGTCCCTTAAGGCCAATAATCTTAGGCGGCGATCTTCACGGTCTGTTGTTCTACGGCGGCGTCCAGTGCCCCTTGCTCTTTGCGTACGGCCTTCTCGAAGCCATGCCTGACAACACCTAACCACAGTGTCTACACTTCTTTGCACTCTAACTGCACTTGCCCGAAAAGAAAGTCCAGCTTCCCGAAGTCCCACTATACGGCCCCTATCAAACTCACTAAGTTGACGAAATCGTACAGGTCTCCGTACTCTAGGCATCGTAACCGATCGTAAAGGATGTCAAGAACCAAAATCCGCCAACGTTGATTCTTTACTGCGGCTTAAATATTCATTTTTAGAGCGTTAGTGAATTCAAAAAAGCAGTATAAAAACCGGAATGTCCAACTGATAAGGCTGAAAATTTTTTCACTTGTTATTTACAGTAAGATAAATATATTCACAAACTTTTATTAAAATAAAACCATTTAAACTGGGTGTTCGGATTTATATGTCGCTTGGTATGCTTTAGGCGTATGCGCGCAGTGACCCCAGTTCAAGAGTGCATATGACATCCTTGAGTGGAAGTATCCATAATATGTGGGTAGCAACGTATCACCAGAAACACAATTTTCAGACTCCTAATTAAATAAATGGCCTTGGATAGTTCCCTGAGAATACTGTTTACATGTTCCTTCCAATTCATGTGTTTGCAAAAATATTTCTGGGTCTATGGGATTGACGTTATAGTCACACAAACTTATTACCATGCACTGTGTTTTTGAAGCATTAAATGTCAGTTTATTTGCTAAAAACCAATATTCTACATTGATTATATATTTAATATTTGCAGAGAAATCGATTTTCTACTACAGAACATTGCTGTATCATCGGCAAACAGTATAAGGTTCCAGTTTGTATTATAATTAGGGAGGTCATTTATGTACAATCGGAATAAAAGCGGACATTAGCACATAACCCTGAGGACGCCACATGAAACTGCCTTTGTACTGAAGGTAGTGTTGTTGAAAGTTACAAGCTGCAACAGAATGCAAAGCTATAGGCCTGTAGTTGTAAGGCTCGGTCTTCCATTTTGGGATGGGTGATGCCTTCAGGAATTGTGCTGTAATACAATGTCTAATGGGGCTTGTAGGGCCGGTATCGAGCTTTCGTCGCAACGTGCGCTAAGTTTAAACCTACATCACGACTGAATTAAGTGAGTTAAGCGCGCGTAAAAAGGGACAGCGCCAGCAAAGGGAGAAGCTAAATATACACGAGGATCAAGCTTACTTTCTACCGAACGGACAGTAGCGTATTTAAAAGAGGCTAAGGGAGTCAAGTATACTGAGTCGGTAACTTTCGGGTGATCAAATGTGAATCTATTTCCAAATTACACACAGACAAGAACCCCGCATATGTGAGGGTTGTTGTCGAGAAGAAGAAATATGGGTTGTTGGAATGCACATTCCGATGCAAAACTTTCGATGATTATACCTATACTCAAAAAGATGAAGATGATAGCATTGCCAACTATCGTCAAATTGCATTATTTAGCAATATATCTGATCCTCTAGAAAATACCATGTACCACGGACTATACGATTTTGCTGAAAAATCTCATATCCTGAATGTATGCTAACACAAATTTAGAGCTGAGAAAGCCATCGAAACTGCAACCTGTCGTTTGCTTGAAGTTGTTCATAGCATACCTGGCGATGGTGAACATGTAGTATCTTTACTAGTTGGCCTACCTAAATCATTCGACACTATAGACAGTAACATATTAGAGACTTCTTGTTGAATTGAATCATCTACTACATGAAAGACAGAAATCTAAAAGTTAAACTTTGAAGTACAATATCTGGTATACATCCTGTTGAGCACGGTTTACCTCAAGGATCTGTACTGGGACCAGTGCTGTTCAATTTGTAATTCTGTGATGTGCTCAGTCATACCTCAGAGAAGCATATGATCATGTTTTCAGATGACACAACTATAACTATATCTGCAAAAATTGTCAAGCACCTTCATCCCAAAATTCAAAGTGTATTCGATGAAGTCTCTGCTTCGTGTCAAAGAAATCGTTTAACTTTAAATTTAAATAAAACTGTTATTATCAATTTTAACATCCAACGCATGGATGAGTTAGACATGAATATGTATGATCTTATTTTATCGGATTCTTGTAAATTACTTGGCACATATTTTGATTTTCACGTATGCAAAAATTTAAGTAAAACATATCTTGCCAATTTACAACTTAAAGATGTACCTGAATTAAAAATCGATTATCAATGTATATCATGGATTGTCTTATAGCCATTTGTCTTGTAACATTATGATAAGCGGGAAATTAATAGAGTATTTGCGGCCCAAGGAAGATTCGTCAGATTGATTTTTTTTATATCAAGGCAGCCGCGCTGGCAGAAATCTAAATGCCGCTGCTATGATGATCCAAAGAAATTTTGTTAATACGATTTTTGAACTGCCTAATGTTAGTAGATCTGGGAAAAGCTTCATCTTGTTGATTGTTCCACAATCTCGACACCCTCAGGATAAAGGATTGGTCGTCTCGGCTAGTTCTGGATGTACTAAGTTAGGATCGAGCGCCAAAGTCAAGCGAGTCTGTTTGGCAGGCAGCGGAATGAAGCCACTTGACTCTTGCAGAGAAATTTTGAAATCACGTGAAATTCTTACATTAGACTGTATTTACATTTTGAAATGTGTAACTTCGTTAAGAAATTTAATAGCCTGTTCCCAAATATTAATGCTCATCATAATTATCGTACTAGACATCGAAATACAATATCAGTAATAATTATTTTCGATTTAAGAATCAAGTTAAAAAATTATTAGCATCAAATTTAGTTCATAACATAAGTGAGGATATGGAATGTACATCCTTGAGTACGCAAAGATGGAATTGATCATTAATATGAATTGTTATATTGATATTGATTTTTACTTATATTCTTATACATTTTAGATTATATAGCTGTAGCTATTTTTTTCCGCCACAGATACTATTCTGTATCTAAGTGGTAGATAAAGATAAAGTAGTCAAATAGATGTCAAAAATGTTGAAATTAAAATATGGTTTCACGTAAATTGACTTCCTATTTAGTGGTATACGTCTTGCTTCATCAAAATGAAAATTCTCTGTATATTGACTATTCAGTGTCATTAATAACATCGCACATTCCTTCTCTTGAACATGATTTTTGTAGGAGTATTCTCGATACTATTCATCTGATTGTTTCATGTGTATAGAGATGACGGAAAAATGATATTACTGTCTGTTGTCAAAAAATGCATCTTTTAGGGTGGATTTCAACAAGGTTGTCAAATTAACAGTCCGTTAATCTCCACCTATAGGGTAACAGTCCGTCAAACATAACGAATGAGCTTCAACATCCAATCAACAAATTTCAGCAACCAATACCTATGAAATGTTGAAAACAAAGCATTGTCAAAGTATGAGATGACAGCTTGACCTTCTCCAGATTATCGACTATTAAGAAATTACATATAATTCAGTCAAAATTTAAAGAAATGTTTGAATTCTGATGTTTTAATTACTACTGTTGGTTTTTTATTCATGCTTATATTATTTTCTTCAATTGATATGCGATTTTACTGATTTAATATCACCTACCGTGTTTGCTTTCCTATAAACCTCTTGCAGATAGCCATTAAACACCTACTTGATGACAGACTCTACCAAAAGTTTCATAGATATTGCTCGTTTCCAAACATTCATTCATTAACTTGCCGTCCATAAGAATCATTATGGCACCTTAGATTGATATTCCCACAAAACCATTCAGGTTTTCTGATATCCATACATCCATAAAGTTGAATATTTTCCATTGTTCAGGAACTGAACAAACATCCACACTATACTTACAGCGATCAAGAAAAACCCAAATATATGTCTTAAAGCTACCAGCAAACCTAAAACTTGCAAAAGAAACTGTAATATTGCCATATCTTTCTTTTTTCACGAGTACACGTTCTAGGTTATATAATTAGACATTATTTGAATAAAAGCTGATTATTGCATTTCAAAACTCCCCGAGAGTCACATGTGTGGGATCGGTCAACCCTTGGTCCCAGTCACAAAACATATACACTGAAGAAGGTTTAATTCCATGCTATTCAATGACAACACGGTGACTTGTGTGGTTGTCAGCGGCCATTTTTTGAGGGTGCGACATTGTTGCCAGATTGTGCATTAATATCCCGTTTCACCCCCCTGGTCCCAATGGAGTGCGCTCCGCCAACTGTTGAAATATACTCTACTATGCTTTATAAGATTATTTGTGGAATTTTTCCAAAATCGTTGCACAGCGCTAGAAAAAATGCAAATAAAAATTTAAAATAATTTCAATGACGCCCCAAAATAGCTGCGTCGGTACCTCGGGTAATACATCTTAACAGTAGGGATGTTCGAGACGATCCTATAGTTAGAAGTATCGATACTTTTGCTTCCCATACCCGATATTTTGGATCGATATTTTTATATACGACACTTAGGTGTATCGATACATTTCACGAGTATCGTCATCTTTCGATCCGGACTGTGTCAGAAAGAGTAACTACCTTCAGATTACTTTTCTTCTTTGTTTCCTTCCGCTGTATCGATACTTCCTGAAACGATAAGAATCGATATATAACGATACTTTTCGTGAATCTAAACATCCCTAATCTTGACAGATTGTCGGTCTTGTCAACTGGGCTACAGGGCGAGGTGTTGCCTTTACTATTCCACATTTTGCTAAAATCTTATGACAAATAAAAGCTTCAAATGAAATATTGACGAATATCAACGGATATGCATAGAATTTAGAATATAGATTCATATTGCAAATTTCAGATTGTCTATGCATGGACTTGAACCGGATTTTTCGGTATTTTTACAGAAAATAGAATATTTACCTAACATCATTCTCCACGATTTTTCAAAATAATTTAAATATTCCTGTACTTGCCAAAAAAGAGCTGAAACCAAAAATAGCGCTAAAAGTTAGTTCTATGGAGTATTCATACATATCAGTCATACATATACATACATACTCAGGCAGTCGGGCACTTGAGAGGCGTAGATTTGGTTTGTCTATGATTACGAACGTACATCCTCATCCCTTACTCCGCTTGCCCTGAATTGATTTTCGTGCATACAAAAGGTACAGACTGGTAGATTACCGTCACTACCTCATCACCGAACAAGCAATAATGAAACCGACCACTATGCACATTGTAGAAGCTGTAATATAAAACATGTTGTGTGCTCGCCCAATACAATAACAGACGTTTTTCATGACTCAAAGGTCCTTGATCTACCACTGATCTTGGGACGGCATTTACCTTATACCGAACTCAACGACACTGTTTACAGATTCCGTTTTTTTTCGGTTTGGCAACACTGCAGATTACTTCAAAAGCAATTGATATCCCAGACCCAGATAATAGATTATTATAACACGACTAAATAATAAGAAAATATAACAATGTCTGGAGATATATTTTCATAAATAGGTATTTTGGATTCTAGACGACGAATAATAGGTGGAGCGGATACTTTAACAAATATTGATGTTTTAGGACCCAGAAATGCAGAATGTGCTGTTTGTTTACATTTGGTGTGAATTTCTAGATCATAAATTAGCAAAAATTGTTTTTGATGTAACAAAAGATCATGAACCTGTTGGAATACGTTTTATATCCTTTTTTTGCAAAATAACAAAAATCGGTACATTTCTACAGGTACGTATTATGTACAACACCCTGTACGTGATATACAGACAAAACTAGATTGCCATGCCTGAACAGTCGTCAAAAACAGTGAAAACATCCTACCAAATATAATAACTAGAAAATCGACGTATTATTTGCCGCATTCCCATTGGTCCCACTTAGATAACTAACCGTTTTTTCGGAAATGATAAATTTGAAATTCTAAAGCACAAAGACATAATATTACATGTACGCTTATTTATAAGGCAACCGTTTTTTTCACGACTTTATTCAACATTTCAATAGAAATCACTGATATTAGGAGAGCTTTGGAAGCTTCTTTCAATGTGCATTTCGATAAGGTCTTTTCCTATTCGTCGAAGGGACCGTTAAATATTAATGTTAGTGAAACTGGCCCTTGGGCACTTTTTTAATCACAACTTGTTACCAAATAATAGCACGGCTTTAAACTAGTATGGGAATATCCTATAGTAAAGTAGTTATCTCTGTCTTATCTTTTTTCTCTTCAAATAAGCTTTGCTTTCCTTGGAAACTTGGGTTGCTGCAAATCGGAGGCTGACAAAAAAGTGTTATAGCAATTTCACCCTGAAAGGTGTACAAGAGCGAAGCTTCTTTTTTTTGCCAGAACAGCATTTAGAACAGAGCAATCAGTCTAAATCCCAAGGCCGTCCGACACAGCTTAACCATAATTCAGTAACACTGCGTGCTGGCTCAGTTACAATTCCTTGGAAACATTGTAAATAGAATAAGTCAGAGAGAATAGCGTTCCTGGACGAATATTCCTTTCAAGTTGATTGCATCAAAATATTTATATAATGAAACCAATTTTCCGTCTTGGGATTTAAGCTGTAAGATCTACAATCGCACACAAAT